ACCAATCAGACCTCGGTCTCTCATCTTATTTCCGCCTTGAAGGCCACATTTCACTCATGCAATTTCGAAGGAACCCAAAATTACAGCCGTACATTGACAAAAGCTCAGCAACATGTCTACTTGCATGGAGTAAACTGCATGCACAGAAGTGCCCGCACCAGAGACCCCAATTCCAACCCCCCAAAACGATCCAAGTTTTGGTCTCGCTCTTTTGGGCCTCCCCAGAAGACGATCCAAGAAAGGAGTGGAAAGTCTTAGTTACCTTTTCAGTGACCCCAGTCCCTATGGAGCACAGTTCGGACCTTAGAGCCGAAAACAAGGTCCTCACTGACCGCGAGCTTAGCTACCCAACGATGAATATTGACCGTTAGCCAACGGGTTGCCCCGTTGACCCCTCCTCGAGACAAGTCCCCAAGTCTCTAAGAGGTTCACCGACCTTGCCTGTTCCCCCGTATGAGACCCGTCAGTCCCGTACCACGTGTGTGCGATCGGTCCGGGAGAACCCCGAGATACCGCACGATCATTCAAGGATGTGCGCAAACACAAACGAGGGTGTGACATGAGGAGCAACCCAACATGTCAACACACGCCGACTAGGGGGTACCAAGGTACCGTGTTAATTCACGGTTCGTTAGGGACGGGGGCCTTCAGCAACTCCCCAGCGCTATACTACAGTTTAACGTCCCCCCGGACCCTCACGGGTCCACCTCCCCCTGTTAGTGGCATAGTATTGGGGACCCCATCCCCCTACCCCGCCCCGCTTGCCCCAACAAGAAACCAAATCATCTACAAAACAGCTTCCTCAATTCTGGGTCCGGAAAACCTTCTCAAAACCGGCTTCGCTCAAAAGGGCCTCCCTAGTAGGGGCTATGATGAAGCAGGTTTGTTGGCATTCGAGGCGCTTTAAGGCTCACCGATTTTTTTGGTGATCGGCACCCGTTGCCTTTCGGCGGGTCGCACTTGAGACTCCCGAGTGGACCAGCAGGGATTCGAACCACCACCGCAGCCATCGGGTCGCCTGAGGCGCTTTAAGGCTTTAAGGCTCACCGAGACCTGCCCGAGGCACGAGGACACTGTGGTGCCTTGACTTGCAAAAGTACTATTGTTTGTCAAAGCTGCACTAGTTTGGGCAAAAAAGGACAGGCGGAATCTCATTTTCGGAGCTCTAAAACATTGGTTCCTATGGGTTCCTATAGGTTCTCTGGTTCACAGATCTTTTTTTTCCGTCCAACGCCTTCATGGCTTTCGCCAGGTCGTTCAATACGCTCTATGGCATTGCAGAATCATTAATTTCCAAATTAATGCACGAGGTCGTCTGCTTATTGAGGACCACAAGAGAGAACTGGTGAGGGACCTGTACATAGTCCAAAAAGCCGTCATTCCACGAACAGCACAAACAAACAAAACAAAAAACAGCAAACAGACAACAAAAGCAACCACAAACCAAAACAACCCAAACAAAAAACCAAACAAACCAAACAGAAAACAACAACCACAGGAATGACTGGCTTCCAGTTCATTGGAGGATTCATGCAAGAGGCGACAACTTTGTGTCATCTCATCTTGGTATGGCCACAACAAGAAAAACACCAAACAGAGAAACAAGAACACCGACACACACAAGGCCATACCCGCAGGTGATAGAAGCAACACAGCACCATGCGGAAACCAGGGATCCCCCCAGCCAGGATCCCCGAGATCACAAGGCGCACACAGAAAAGCATAACGACTCACCTTGGTCACTTCGAAGCAAACAACGGCAACGCCGCGTCGCAACGAGAGTGGTGAAAAGTTGAAGAGTGAGAAGGATGGTGAAACAAGAGCTATTGTGAGAATGATCTAGGTGAAACGGACAGTGAAACAGCCCTCCGGGTGCTCTCAGAGTCCGCTCAGTAGTGCTTTTTCGATCATCTTGCTCTTTGGTAATTGCTTGCGCCCGCCCATGAAAGTACTTGTTGTTGGGGGATTTGCAAAGCTGGTGCACTGGGAAAGCTGCCAGGGTAGACTTCGATCCGTTAATGCTCTTGTTCTCTGGTTCACAGATCGGTTCCTACAAACTTAAAAATGATTTCCCAACTGTTCACCTCACAAACATTGTTCCAAGATAGGGGAAGGACTGGACGAACAGCTACAAACACCCGCCAAAGAGGTGCCAGCGAGTGCGCCCCAAATTCGTCAGTGCCAGTTGGAATGTCAAAGATTGAGTGGATTTCGTAGAAAATCAAAACCGATTTCGCCAAAAGTTTACGCGCAGTTACTTAATACCAAAACGAAAACGCAAGGTTCACGAAGTGTCAAAAACCAATGGCCTCACTCAGTCTGATCCCTTTTCCGTTTGCACTCCACAGTCTGTCCAGCAGCAGGTCAGCAGTTACACACAGTAACACCACAAACCAAAACAAGGACGTGAGGTGTCTTACTAACTCTTCACAGGTTCACAAGGTTTCACCTTGAACCACGTGTTTAAAGGTTGAGTTAGTTCCAAAAACTGTTTCCTTTCTATTTCTTCTTCCACAAACCAGAGACAGACAAACACACTCAATGAATGTGTTTGTCCCCTTCAGACGTC